CCTGTGAGGCAGCAAGTTTTGCTGGTTCACTTGGCTGCTCCAGGCGCCTGTGAAGGCTTTTGCTTTTCCCTGCAACTGCAGTGTCTGAGCGCTGATTTTTTTTTTTTTAATTTTTTTCTTTAGTTTTTGATGTGAGGTGAGAGTTTTTGATGTGAGGTGAGAGTGAATCCCCTGACTCCAAGAGCTGGCCAGTCTGTAAATCATTACTGCACACCTGAAAGTAGTTTTTGGCTTCAAGCAGCCCTTGCTCCATGTTTGACCTCTCTTTCCTCCAGACTGCAGAGAGATGGCCGGGGCAAGGGCAGGGGCAGGGGCAGGGGCAGGCAGGGGAGTGAGGGGGCTGTAGGTGCATGCCAGCACCTGTGAGGGCCCAGCCCAGCTGAGTGCCTTCAGCCATGCTGTGGGGAGAGGAAAACCCCACTTAACGGGAGAGGCTGCTTGACCACGCACATCTTGGTTTAGTTTATTCAGTGAGCACAAAAAGCCTCCAGATTTTTCCTGTTTCTGGTGGTGGTGACGTCCATACAGGCCCTGCACAGGATGGCCTTGGCCACGTCACCGCAGGGTGGAAGGGACCCAGGAGCCCACCCTCAGCCCGGTCTGCTCCCAACCTGCTCAAGGGCACGAGGCCATGAAGGTGTCCAGATGGCTTTATGCCACGGGATGGGTCCCAGCTCAGCTGATAGAGGTGGCTCATCCAGGGCTGTCTGTCTGTCTGCTTCGCTGGCAGCTGGGAATTTCCCTGAAGCTGCCTGCCCCCATTCCCAATGGTGGGAATGGGTCCAGTGGTGGAAGTGTTGGTGAGGAGGAAGCAGACTCCCATGCCACAAGCTGCTGGCTGGCTGCAGGCACTGCAGTGACAGCTGATGTAGCTGTGGGGATTTCACAGCCTGCACGTCAGTGTCACTGAGGATGGCCTCATATGAGAGGGAGGAAGGGGCCATTGTTTTCCCTGATAATTCCCCATGACGCAGCCTGCAGCTGGTGCAGGAGGAAATGCTGATCTGCTTCCTGCTCTGGCACAGGGATGTTTTCCCCATCCTCACAGCCTGGCACCTTTGCTGGCAGCTCTCTGCTGGCGGGCTGTGGTGGTGGCAGTGGGACCCCCTTAGCACCCAGCTGGAATGGCTGTGTTGCAGTGCCTGCAGTGCACAGCTGTATCCCATCTGCCCCAGAGAGGGCTGCTGCTACTAACAGCCAGCACCTAGAAAACTCATCTGCCAGAAGATGTGCATGTCTGACCTGAAGCTACAAATGTTGTTTGTCCTTGGGATTGAAAAATAGCTTTTTTCTGTGAGATGGGGACATTTGCAGCAGGAGCACGTGGGGTTGTGCTCCAAAGCCATTTTGAGCTTATTCTTATGGGGGGTAGCTTTAGATGGGGAGGAGGCTGTTGAAGAAATTGCTTCAATTTCAAAGTGAAGTGAGAGTTCTGAAGCAGCTGGTAGTGAAGTCTATGCAGTGCAAATCTAGTTTAGCTTGGTCTAGTCACTCTGCTGGGCCCTCTGGATACATAGGCCCTGCAAAGGAAGGAGGGGAGCAAGGCTGATGTCTGTGCAGACAAAGAAATTTCACTACCATGGTATCAGTTTATAGTGGTAAAATAATGCTCTTGAATACCTGGTAGCTTGGGAGCTTCCATACCCCAGGTTCAGACCAAAATAACCACTGCTGGTACCCATGCTTGCTGCTGACAGGGTGGTGTAAGGGCACTGAGATAGTGCCACAGCTGGCAGGGAGAGTGAGGTAAGTGCTTCCAGTTCTGCCTGCAGGTGCCAACAGAAGGTGTCTCTGAAGGGATCTAGCATTAATCACACTCCTCTGTACTACTCTCCAAGAAAGAGCAGGTCATGTCCTGACTGGATAAGATCATGTCCTTTTAGGTGACTGCCAGTTCTTCCTCTGCAACAGACCATTGCTTCCTGCTCTTGCAGTCTGTGCTCCAGCCAGGGATGCTGTTTAATGCTACTTGCCCCTTTTCCTTGTGTTGGTCCTGGGATTGCCACAGCCTTAGAGATGCTGCAAACGCTAGGCATCTCAAATGCACAGACTGGGTGCTGTCCCCACACATATGCACAGTGTAGCTGGGTTTTTGCACTAATGTTTTCCACTTGCCTGCTGGTGGACATGTTTTTGGGAGTGTCACTTATCTGACTTTTTTTCCAGTAGTAAGTGAAAGACTGTCACATAAATATGATTCCAGGAGCTGGGGCTTTAACAAAACTGCTGCACAGCACAGGCGCTAGGTTGGCAGTTCTGGAAAATCCCTAGATAAATATATTTGACAGTGAGAACACATTATCTTTTGATCTTGGGATCATGAAGGCACTTGTTCTTTGCAAATTCCTTCCACAGCTTGAGCAAAAAGAACAGCATGGTGTAACAGGAAGTGCTGGAGAATTTGGATTATCCAAGTGCACTTCATAATGCTGCTGCTCTTGTAATACTTGTCTGTATACTCTTGAGTTATTCACTTTCTGTGATGTTCTCCACATGGGATTTTTCCAATCTTCAGACACCAGGTTCTGCACCAATTTCTCTGTTTAACTGTTAAACTCCCTTATAGTCAGTGACCTCTATACATCTGAGAGCTCCTGGAAATGCCCCAACACTTTTGAAAGCTTAACTTATCGTCTTGGTGTTACTACACAGTAGAAAACTTACCTGGTGTCCAAAAGTAGGACAGAAGCTCCTATGTGGATTTTGTGCCAGAGTGTGTATTGCAGTTCTTGGAGTCAAGGCACTAATGTGATGTCAGTCTGTCTTCTCCATGTAGCTGCCCTGTTCTTCCTGCCTCAACACTTGCAGGAAGATAAGGATCCTTGAGGCCTCCACCACTGGCAAACCCAATTTGGCTTGGCTGACACTTTCAAAGATTCAACATGCCCATGTGCATGTTGGCTATGTAATTGAGACACCTTACTTTCTTAGGAAACCAAACTTAAAAGAAAAAACCAACTAAACTGTAAATTACTTCCCTTTCCTTAATTCTTGATTAATGCTTAAATGTTTCCTCAATACATCTTGTGACATGATTTCAGTGTGGAGTCTATTTGACCTAAGAATATAATCCCCCTTAGCCTAAACCTTCTCTCTCAGTCTTCCATGAAACCGAGTATTTATGTGCACATCTGTAATCCTCTCCCACTCACGGCCTCTGAATGGTGGGCTACCATGTGTATTTAGTGCTGATATAACTGTTCCCCATGGTTTGATATACGGGTTAAAGTAATTTTTTTTTTGCTGAAATCCACATTTTTGCCATGGGAAGGACTATTTTCACAAGTCCTGTTATGTGGTTTGAATGAGATTACAACAAAGGGAGATTAGCTAATTACTCCAGGGTCATTTTCCCTTTGGTGTGTGGGAAAGTTTAATGGCTAATATCCATACATATTGGCTAGAAAGCTGTGGGAGAGCAGCCTTGTCACTCCACACCTGAACATCTTGAGCTACCCTGCTGATTTCAAATGGCTTGTAACTCATGAGGGCTTTTGGATCCAAGCCGCTCTTCTCTGAGGGATTCTGTGCTCTGCTTGATGCCATAAATAGCATTCGAATGCCATGAAGTGAGAAGACTCCCATCTGTCAGTCTGGGAAGGCTAGCCAGCTGCCTAAGGAAGTCTGGAGACAAAAAATTGATTTAAAGAAAAATCTGTAAGGGGATTTAAGTCATGCTTTTTGTCTAATGAGTGTTTATCTTGTAACTGTATCTCTATCAAACAAGCACTGTGAGACGTTCACAGTGCAGTAAAATCTCACGTCGTTGCTGTAGAAGTCAGGGCCTGTTTAGAGTGGGAGTGGGAACTCGTTGGGTTGGAGCTGGGACCCATAGGCCCAGCAGGCTGAGAAGTGCCTCCTTTCATCCTGTGCCATTGGCTGTTAGCCCTGTATTGAAGCCATGCCCAATCTCTATGGCTGGCTGAAACCTTTCAAAAATCAGGTTTTGGTGCCTTCTCTTAGCCCTCAATATCTCACCCCCTCCTGTGGCTGTTAGTCCTTTCTTATGCCTGCTCTAGTGAGGCCAAATTATACTTTCTTCTTGCTTTTGTCAAGCATCTTCTCTGGGGAGAAATAAGCCCTGGATGTTGCTATCTCTGCCAGAAGGCTACTAATTCCCAGCCTGCTAAACTGGTGATAGGGCTTAGAAATGTCCTCATTTTTGTTAGCACTGCCTGTGATTAAGAAGAGTCCTAGCTCAAGTCTTGTTTAACTTGGATTTGCCCTTTTTCTTATTAAATTGTAGCCTATGTTTCTAAGTATACACTACCACTGCTGGAAGCCTCCAATTTGCAGCAAACACAGAACATCTGAGTCATATTTTGTACTTCTGACACTAAAGAAGTTGCTGAAAGTTAGCTGTCACTGCCTGTGGGCAATCTTTTGTATTGACAATGGCACTTCACACCTTTGTTGTGGATTTTCTTGTCCAGAAATTCCAAAGTTGTTAATCAGTGACAGCTGTGTACCCTGGTCTTAGCTAAGGAGCAGAGATGCTCCAGAGCACTTGTAGTAATGACAAATCCCTTATTTTTTGGGTTGCCTTATCCAAAGGAAGCTGAATTTTCAGATGTCATTGAGAAGTTTTCTTCTTTCTGCCCCTCATCCTTGATTTTCCATAGAAATCAACCCTGCTCTCAGGAATTGCAAGGAATGCTTAAAATCTGTAGTCTTGCATGAGGATGATCCTGTAGGTTACTGTAGGCTTGCAGGAGCTTCCAGGTGTGTGGCACCTTCATCTAATAGCTCTGGCAGTGTTTCTGAGCGCTTTTGTTGCCAGTATGTCAACAATGAAATGTCCTGAAGGTCATCCTGAAGCCGCCCAGGATGGGCCCTCATGCCATCTGGAGGATGCTCACTTGCTTTGGTGATTGTGGTCACCTACACCTCAGCTGAGAGCACACATGAAGGCCACCACTGCAGTGCTGTGGGGCTGCCCTGTCCCATCCACCTGCATGCCTGAGCACCTCTGACTGTTGCCTCTGCTCCTTTGCATGCAGGAAATAAAGCACATAGGAAGTGCACACAATCGGAGTGCAGTGCCCTTCACTGCTGCCACAGCTTCTGCCCCCAGGGTGATCACTGCTCAGTACAACAGCCCAGCAGGCCTCTACTCCTCAGAGAACATCCAGTCCTTCAACAGCGCGGTGGAGACAAAAACATCACCGGGGGCCCTGGAGCCTTCCAAGCCGTAAGTACCTCCCTCACCCCCTCCCTCCCTCCCTGGGCCTCCAGGGAAAGGCTTCAGGAGACACGAATTCACTGCAAAGGTACCAGTCTGTTATACCAAGGCAAGCTCTCTTTCAGGACAACGGGAGCAGAAGAGGCACAAGTCTGGATGTTGTTCCCAGGGACAGGGCTTGGAGGAGTGGGGAATATTTTGTGGGTGCAGACATGAAATTAATGCTGTTGTGTTTCTTGTTCAGCAGAGACCGACGCAGTTTCCGCGTGCGTTCAGCATGACATACCAGCCCGCTGGTCTGAACAGGTGCCTGATAGCTTGTTACAAGCACTTCCTAAAGTTAGTGTTTCGTGCCTGCTTCGCTGCCATGCTGGGCAGGAATGGCACCAGATAGTGCAGGGAGCACACCCATCCCTGTTCCCAGCTGGCCTGGGATTCGTAGCCAGGCTCTGCCTTAGTCTGAATATTTCTGTGGTTTATCATCAAACTTTGCTTTTCTCAGGAGTTTTAAAAAGTAGCTGAAGCATTCATTCAGTGTGAGGGATTTTATGTATGAGACTGGAAAGGGTCCCAATCTTAAAAGGGCCTGTTCATTTTTGTGTTTGCAACTGAGCCTCACCAATGACATTATTTTACCCTAGATTTTCAAAGTTCCCCTTTTTTTTTATTGGAGGTAATAAACCAGAAACTACTTGAAAGTTTTCTGGCTGTGACAGTCAGCTTGCTTAACTGCCCTAAGTCTCCGCATAGCAATATCAGACTGCCTAGAAGGCTTTGGCTATTTTTATAATAAAAGCTGAAAGAACAGTGTTTTTGATAATACGTGATTAAATTTCTGACTAGAGAATGGAGAGGCAAAAGTAACTTCAGCCTCTGCTGTTGCAGGGTACAAAGACCTGATTGTGGTTTAACACAAGCCTGACAGTGAAACCAGCTCCTTGCATTGGCAGCCCAGTCTGCAGCATGGTCCCTTCCAGGCAGTTACAGTGCTGCAGCTGGCAGACGAGGTGACAGATTGTTCATTTGCTTCTGGTAGACTCAGCAGCCTCATCCAGGGGCTGGGCAAAAGCAGAGCAAGGGCAATGGAAATCCGACATTGCATTAACCTGATGGGACCATCTGGCAGTGAGATACAATCCCTGGTTCGCTCTGGTGTCCCCTCCATGGGAGAGCGCTCCCTGGAAGCCAGGGAGATTTGGCTGGAACATTGTAGCTGATCCCTTTCTCTTGCAGGGGTCAGCAAAGAGGTGGGTCCCTTCTAGAGCTGTGGCTCACTCTGCTACTCCTGGCAGGAGCATCCATTGCCAGCCCTGCTCCAGCTTGGATACAGGGCATCTGTTTCATCCTTTCCTTGCTGAAACACAGCAAGTTGCAAAGGAATGCTGGGAAAACTGTGGATGAGGCTTTGATGCTAACGTGCTTTTGTTTACAGAGTCATCAAAAGCAAATAAATTACTGCTGGTTTTCAGAGAGCCAGGGACCTCAGCCTGATGTTAAAAACCCAGTGTAGTCTCCCCAGTGCACAGGCACAGGATGTCTAGGTTCTCCCTTCACATACAGTCTTCCAGCTGCCTTTAAATTCCTGCCCATCTGTTTCACTGAGTTATTTGGTATATACCTGAGCAAGGCCAGGTTTACCTGATATTTATCTGCATCTCCACCCTGCATCCTGCAGACACACAGCCCATCTGAACCCAGCACTTGATTCTGCTACTGCACATGGTGATGTGACTGGAGACCTAGTCCATGCTTCATCCTTAGAGGGTGTGTGGTACAAATGCGGGGCTGTAGTACATATAGAAATAAAAGCAAATATCTCCATTGGATTTGATGTCACGAAGCAGGTGGGGATGGAGAAGCCCTACTGCTAAGCATTTCTGGTTTGGAATGGAAGGTGAGATTACTCCTCCGTAGGATGCCAAGGCTAGCTTAGAGGAGAGCAGCAGTGAAGGTGGCATTCCTTGTCTGGACAGTGGGACCACAAGTGTGTGTGCAGGGAGTTACTGTAAAATGAAACCCTTGCTGCCACTTCTTCATTGCTTTTACAACACATGCATTTGCTTGTCCGTGGAGGGCTTATTTTTTAGTTTTTGTGTGGACACACCTGGAGTGTGAGACCAGAGGCACAGCATTAGTCAGAAGCCTGTAAAGTTGTGTGTTCAGTGGTGTGTCCTTAAGACAATATTCTGCAGCTGCCTGATGGCTTGAAGTATTTCGCTTTGCCCTTCATTAATTTCTTTCTTCTTTCCTTTCTTCCTCCTCTGCATTTTGCCCTCAATTTGGCAATGTAAACCCCAACCAAACCTTGACCAGCCCATCTCCCCCTGCCCGTGTGGACACGTGGGCTGGCGGCCGCCCATCGCCGGTGGGTGCCATGCAGGCTCCCGTGGCCTCCGTGTACAACCCTCTGCAGAGCTCCGAGCTGCGGCGCAGGCACAGCTCCTCCTCCAGCCCCAGCCAGGTCCGGGTGGGGCCTGAGCAGCTGAAGCACGTGGCCCAGGTCTGCCCCAACAGCCCTGTGGAAGTGGAGGTGCCGGGACTCAAAGTGCTGCACGTGCAGTTCAATTCTCCCCTGCAGCTCTATTCGCAGAGCAACATCATGGACACTCTGCAGGGGCAGATCTCTTCTGTTAGCCCTGATTTCCCCAGGTAACCTGCCCATGGCCTCTGCAGCCAGCTCAGCACACCTGCTCATCTGCATTTCAGTGTCCACGAGTCCCTCGTCCCAGTCTGTGGCTCATGGCATTGTCCGGTCACAAGAAAAGAGCATTTGCATTTCACCATTCCAATGTCAGTGCATGACTCTTCACAGGAGCTTTCTCTGCCTTGTGTCTGTGCCCAACACCATGGGAAACACCAAAATGTTTTTAGCCTGTCAGTATGTCCACTGTCCCCTGCACACCCACACAGCGGGACTTGACAGCACCTGGTGGCTTTTCTGGAGGAGCCACCTGCAGCAGATGGGTTTGCTGAGGGTAGGAGAGTGCTTTATCCTGAAAGCTGGTATTTTTCCTGCACTTGAAATAACTTTTGTTGTTTGTGACTGACAGACGCTGCCGGTCTTTGTTCTTTTCTTTCATTGGCCATGGATGTGTGCTGAGCACGTTTCATTTCAGGCTGGAGCAGGTACTCTGCTCTCCGTCTTTGGCTGACAAGTCAGGAGTTTGGAGCAGCCTGGCAGGCACCAGGCACATGGAGGGACAGTCTGTGTTCCCACCCCTGCCAGTTTGTCTGCAGAGGTTGCTGCAGCACAGTCCTCCCCCTCTGCCCAAAGGAGTGGAGGATGCTCAGCATGCTCTGAGGTCTGCAGGACTTGTGGTGAGCCTCAGCAGCACAAGGCCTGGGGGCTGTTTGATGTCGACTTTGTGGTGCTTGGGAACCCCATGGCCTGTGTCTCTAAGTGACAGCCTCTGGGTTTTACAGCAAGGACTTTAGCATCAGGACAGGTGAATCAGAAAGCACTTTTATCTGTGTTTCAGGAGTCCAGTCAAGGATGAATTGTGAACCTTCTGCTATTGACCAAGCAGCTTGCAGCTGTGTGACATGTGGCCCAGGACAGTGGTCAATCCCAGGGCTTCCATGGGGCAGAAAAGGACACAGCCAGATCTCATGGCTCCTGGACTGCTCACAGTTCCCTTCTGGGAACCATGTACTTCAAAGCAGAAAAACTGGGGTCCTCAGCCCTGGACACACACAGCCAAGCTTTGTCTTGTGCCAGGAGCCAAGAGATTGTGGGAGGATTTACTGAGGATTTACTCCTGCCTTGTTACTCAGTGCAGTTACTTGCTGTAAGTCAGTGCTCTGGCTTGTAGTCAGTACCATGCACACCAGGAGTGGTCCCACTGCCAGCTCTCTGTGCTGATAGTGGTCACAAAGGAACCCAGATATCAGCAACTGTTTAATGGCCAAAGGGACTGCTCCAAGTTCTGAGCCTTCATGTAGCCTTGAGACTCTTGTAAGCGTTGCAAAATAGTCTGACATAAAATAGTAAAATACCCTTAGCAAAAAATCAACTGTGCTTTTTGAAGATTCTGTGCAAGGCTGTGTCTTTATGGTTTTTATTACTATCTTCTTGCCAATATTTAAGGCTCAGTGATCAAGTATTAGTCAGTGTTGCAAGTTTCCCATGGTAACAGCAATGAGATCCAGTAATGGTTGGGTAAGTCTGAGACCAAATAAATGTGCTTGGGGTTGTTCCCTACAAAGTTTCTGCATGAGGGAACTTGTGTACACAGAAAAGGACACCAGTTGCTGGTGATTGCTGCAGATAAAGTACCTGTGTAACAGAGGGTGCCAAAAATCAGCTGGAATACAGAGACCCAATATCTTGCAGGTACAATTTCTGTGGCCTTGCCCTTTCAAAAGATACACATCCTTTTCAGAGATGTTGCTTAATTTAAGCAGCATAGCCTTCTGCCCTGACAGTTTGAGGTATTTTACTCTGCTGGTACAAATCTGGGTTTGATGGTTTTTATAGCCTTTTGGACATCTTGTATGTGCAAGTGGATGTATAGGGTGCATACCTGGGAAGGCTGATATGTATGTTATGCACTGGCACAATGCATGGTTGAAATATGATGGCTTTGTTTGACTCCAATGCTTTCTAAGATTATTTAGCCTCTGCTTTTTGGATGCATGGTATTGAAACATTCTTGGTATGCAAACTGCAATGAAAGGCTTCTTGCATAATGTTTTTATGAGTGGATAGAGCAGTGGGACTATATGAGTTTACATGAGATGAATGTAATATGGAGCATGGGACATCTTCTGTCTAACAGAAGGCACATAATTCTTTTATTTGAGTAAGAACCTTCAGTAACTGAGATTCAGGTTTCAAAAGTTCAGCTGTTTGCATGTCTAATGTTCTTCCTGCTCCACTGAAAATTGCTAAAGATGGAAACATTTTATGAAATCCTTTTTATGGAAATAGCATTTTGTAACTCATGTGATGATTTTACTTCTGATGCTTGAAGAGTTTATTATGTAGAGTAACTCCCAGATGACTCAATCGGTCATTGGCATTGAAAGTATGCGGTTGCCTCCTCGAGAAAACGATTTCCCTCTGCAATTTAGTCTGAACTTCAGGATGTTTATGTACTTTTCATGCAATCACAGAATGCAAGAATGGTGAAACCAAGAAGACTATTTACATTTATAAGACTACATTACAGAATTGAGGTATCAGAGAAATTCTGTCAGCTATTTCACTTTATCGTATGTTTTACTGCAGCTACAGAACACAAGGCAAGCAGGAACTTCCTGTGTGCTTTAGTCCATCCCTTGGTCCAGCACTTGGCAATTTAAACCATTGATTTAAATAATTCCCACTGTATATTTGTCCAGACTATTTTCAAATCCTTTAGTTTGGAGGTTCCTTGCCTGTCCACAACAATCTCCTCTGGTATTTCAGTGTTATTAGACATACTGGAAAGCTTTTCCCAAGGGATATTCTAAATATTCTCCTGCAGTTTAATCTATCCTCTACCCACTGTATGTGGAGTTTATCTTAGGCACTGCTTCCAGACTCCTTTTTATTCCCCAATGACCACCATGACACTGTGTAAGGATGTAAGTCCCTCATGACATGAGGGGTGGCAGCAGCACCTCAGGGCAGCTGCACTGAGGGCTTAGCCTTAGCTGAGAGAAATCTCTGCCCTCGACCTTAGTAAAATACTGTAAAAATGGGCTCTACCTAGAAAATGGAAATAGTAACACTCACTTGATAACCAGACTAAATTACTTCCCATCAGAGAATCTTCTAGTTAGACCCTACAGCTGTTACTTGGTGAAGGTGACACTTACAAGCAATTCATAGGGTACTTGCAAAGAATTCTTTTTAATGGAATAAATTTTTCTTAGTTTGAGATTCACAGTGGTGTAAGGTAGCAGTGTAAGGTGGTTTATGCACGCAGGGAACATGCATGGATGGCACAGCTACTCGGTGGGATTCCCATCGCAGCACATGAATTCTTTACTTTGCTGTTACCAGAGCTGTGATTTCCTGGGCAGGCTTTAGCTGCTGGAGTGTGTGGTTACTGTGAAGCAGGGAGAGCCCTGGCTGGGGGCAGTCAGTGGGGAGCTGCTGACAGCAGCGTGGGCACAGCCCAGCCCAGCGTGCCGGTCCCACCCGGAGCACATCCGGCACCTCTGTGTTTGTGGCCTCCCGTCGTGCGTGTGCTTTGCACGTTCATTCTTCAGCCATGTGATGCATCCTGGAAGTTCTGCTAGAGGGATTACCTTTAGTTTTCGTCCATTTAACAAGAGGATTCTCTGTTCCTTCCTCAGTTTAGATCAGCATAACCAGACCCCAGGCAGCATTGCCATAGACAAACAATCTGAGGTTTACAAGATGCTGCAGGAGAATCAAGAGTCAAATGAGCCACCCAGACAGTCTGCTTCATTTCTTGTGTTGCAAGAGATCTTGGAGTCAGAGGAGAAAGGTGAGTACCTGATGTGAGCTCTTCCCCTCTGCTGTTCTTTGGGTTGAGTAGCATTTAAAACTTTATTTTCCATTTAGCTGTTGATTGTTTAAGGTAGCACCTGTAGGTGGCTTCTACAGAAACCTACAGACCTAGTCCCTAATTTGATCACTTCATATTCTCTCATTTATTAGCTTCAGTGTTTATGGGCCCACATCATTGCTTAATCATTGAGTGAGCGCTCCAGAAATAAACCCTTGCAACATTTAGTTATCAAGAAGGAATTTTTAAAGTTGCAAAATCTCCTATAGTTTCTAAAGTTTTGCCCCCTTTAAGACAGTATTCACTGATTAAAGACCATCTTGGAGCCAAGACTTTGGATGGCATCGCAAGATAGTGCTCTTCAGTGAGGCCTATTGCTTCTGAACTCCATCCCCCTACACAAGAAAAAGTATTCCCTTCTGCAGCTGAATGTAAAAATATAGAAACTGTGTTACAATGAGCAGTTAATTGCTTTTAACCTCTGAAAATTCACTCTTCTTGGCATTCTTGATCTTAGGTTTGGACTTGTACAATTCAGAGCCATAGAGTTTAAGATAAAAAAGCCAATTAACTTATTTGGGGGGCTAAATCATGCTCTCTTCTCCCCTTAAATAAAATAAAATAAAATGAATGAATGAATGGGAAAAGAATTCCAAGAATGACCTTTTTTTTGTCCTTAGGGCCAGTCTTTTGTGTTATTAGCTTGGCAGTGGTATGTTCAGTTTAATCCAAAAAAAGCCTGGTGCTGAGATATTCACCACAAAGAGAAACAGATCAGCCAAGTGCTGGTAGGTCTGAGAGATCTGTAGGGAAACAGCAACACGAAGGAAATAAGGAAACAATAGGAAGAAAGAAACCAGGATCATGGAGTCTCTAATATGCTGTTAAAATACCAACCTGAAAGAATCTTTTAAATATTGAGTGTTTGCAGCTTGCCCTCAGGGTTCAGCTCCTGCATGGAAGGAGTAGCCCGGACTTCTCCCGAAGCCAAGGTCCTCCCCTGTGCTTAGTAGTGCTGAAGAAGATAAGAAGCAAAAGCCTCTCTGTTTTATCTTTCTTTGAAGATTTGCAGCATTGTTGGGATTCTCTGGCACAAGGTTTGCCTGCCCGATCAGGGGGCCGGGATAGGCTCTGGCATTATTCCACAGTGAGCTGACAATGCTCCATGGCCCAGCCTGCCCGTGCTGCTCGGCCAGCAGCAAACAAACACACACTGCTGCGAGTCAGATCCTTGGTGTGATAAACGGCACTTTGGATGGCATTCCGTGTGATAAATGGCACATTGGGTGGTGCCTTCTCCCAGCGGGGCTCCAGGCAGTGGCCTGGGAATGACGGCTGTGAGCCATGCCCGGCTGGGACAAGGCCCTGGGGGCATCGCTGACTGTGTGGGCTGCACTGACTTACACCAGCTGAGAGCCTGGGCCAGGCACAGCAGCCAAGTGTGGCTGTTTGGAAGCACCATGGCTGGTCTTTTAAGGCCTGACCCTGTGCTCAAAAATGGAGAGTGTTCCAGGGTTGAACATGGCACGGTTCCTCTGGGTGTTTGATTAGGAGAGATTTAAAAGTGTGTTGTCGATGTAGCTGATAAGAGCAAAGTGCTCGTTGAGGCAAAGGGAGTGAACAGAAGTGATATGAAGAGTCTGAAAATGTGATTGCTGCTGCTTGCTTCCCAGTGACAGTCACTTGCAGCAACCCTTAGAGGGCAGGTGGCTCTTGCCATGTTTGAAGGGTTAGGGAACTTGCACCTCTGGACCAGCATCTGCACAGAGCTGGGTGCAAACCTCTGAGCTGAAGGCTGCCCTAAAGGCAAACCAGCACAGCATCACCTGCCCTACAGCTGAGGCAGGCAGTTCCCCCCTTTTTCCTCTTCTGTCAGTGCTGCTGCCCTGGGCTGTGGTGAGTCCCTGACATGGCTGGTCACCAGGGTCTGTCTTTGGAGGGTTTTTCCGCCCCTTGCGCTGGGAATGCCCATTGGAAATGTGCTCTTGGTCTGACACTGGTCTGAAGGGTTTCATCAGTGTCCCTCACAGTCCAAGGTGTTTCTGGTGAAATACCATGGGAGTCTCAGCAGCCTTCTTCCCTTGTTAACTGGTGTCATACCCCTTAGAAAAGTCATGTAGATGAGATTAGTCCCATCATTGGTGTCATTTTATAAAAGGCTCCTTTTTCCTGTGATATTTAAAGGCTTGCCTTGTATCCCACATCTAGGATCCACTGCTGATTTAGGTATCCAGGTCAGCACAATGTCCCCTGCAAAGGCCCTGCAGGAGAGAAGGGCCTCTGTGCCCCAGAGAAATTGCAAGAGGGAGATACCTGGAGCATGCTATGCAACAGCAGGGGAGTGCAAGGTTATCCCCAGTGTCCCAGGGCTCTGCAATAACGAATTTGTTAACCAAATCTTCCAGGAGTCTTGGGGGAACCAACTCCACTGTAAAATAGACAGCAGACTGGAAAGGGGCTTTGACAGTCCTCCCAACAGAACACACACCTCTTTCTGAGCTCAAATCTGGGAATCAGCATGACTGTGTGATCAGGACACATCAGGCAGACTCCAGTGCTGCCAAGGCTCAGGCTTTGCTTTGCTTTGTGCATCTGTGCATGTGAGACACATCAGCTGAAGTCTGATGGGCTCTTAAGATGAGAAAATAATCTCTTCTGACTGCCCACCATCTCAAGCCCTCACATTTCCAGGGCGAGGTTCAGCTGTGTCTCTCCTCTCCTTCCTCCCCACACATCCCTGCCCACTTTCCATGCATGAATCCCTGCCTCAGAGCTGGGCTTAAAGAATGTCATGCCCCCAGCAGATCACCTGCTTGGGAGGAACAGCCTCAAGCCACGCATCTCACATGCTCTGAAGCACTCTCCTTCCACCCCCAGGAGACCCTACCAAACCATCTGGATTTAGGAGCGTCAAGGCCCCTACCACAAAGGTGGCCTCATCGATTGGGAATGCCCAGAAGCTGCCCATGTGTGACAAGTGTGGATCTGGCATTGTGTAAGTAAGCCTGTCCCTGGGGTTGAGGTGAGCAGCCCATGCCTGTGCCAGGGGCTGAGGCAGTGCACCCAAGCAGCCTCACTTACCCACATCAGTGCATCCAGGAGATTCAAGGCACGTTTATTCTCACCAGCTTTTACAACACTAACTTTGCAGGTCCCTGCAGTGAGGCAGGAGTTGGGTTTCCAGCTACAGATCCGTATCAGTGGAAACCAGAGCAAGTCCCTGTGACTCAAACCTTGAGGCAGTTGTTTCTGCAGTGTTTGGCTGACCCGAAATCTGTTTACAGCATTTGGAAACAAAATGACCTTTTCATTCAGGGCCTGTGTATTTAAGGAGTTTCCCGTCTCAGTGCTCCCAGGCGTGGCATGGAGACTTGCCTTGGTGGTCAGAGGCAGTGGGGACTGCAGAGCTGCCTTCTGCTCCCCACTCTCCTGTAGGACCTCACACCTCCACTGTGTCTATGCAGACATATTGGTTTTTGTCTTTTTGTGGGTAAAATCCAACTCCAGCAGACCTGGGGTTTGGGTTTGTTACAGAGCTGCTGTATCATAAATGCAACCACATGGGGGACCCAGCATTCAATAACTATGTCTTAGAGTTGCTGTTTTTCAACCTCAAATTCTTCAAATTCTTCCTCTGCAACATCCTTAACAGCTGACTACACAGCAGGCAAGTACTGGTAGCCAAACCTGCATTGTCATGGAAGAATTCTGATTTTTCAGATGCTGCCTGCCACAGGCTATCAGATTGTTGCTGAGACTTGCTACACTGTGACTGCATGGTCCTGGCATGCCTGGAGCATCTGGACCAGCAGATTGATTAGAGAGGAAATGCATAGCCTGTAAAATATGAATCAGAGACAAACCCTGTAATTATTCAACCAGCTGGGTAGGTCTGGAGAGAAAGCAAAAGGCCTTGAATAGCACTCAAAACTAAGGAATTACAGAAAATAGAGATGGCTGCTGGAACAAAATAATACTGGAAAATTGTTGTGTTGGGGCTGATGGTAGTTAACAAACTGCTGGTGTAGTTTTTGTAGTTTTCCTGGTCATCTGTTGGGCTGAGCTGTGAAGTCCTCAGTAAGAGCTGGCCCACATTTGGCTGGATCTGTTCACTGCAGCTCCCAAGCAGCCATGTCTGAGATTAAAACAAGGATCTAGTGTCTGTGCTTCTCCCACACATCAGGCACCAGCAAAAGGGCAGTGCTGGCTGTGCAATATTCATCCCTGCATTTCTGCATTTGTTCTGCCATCCAGTTGGCTTGTACCTGGATTTTGCTTCCCCAGATGGTCAAGCTACTACCTGCCATTTGATCTGGGCATTTGAATGCTGTTGTGCTGTCTGCAGCCACCAGCTAATGCCATCACAGTAATTCTTCCCACCACAGGTTATAGGACTGTCCCTGTGTAACTTACACAGGTCAATGCTGGGAAACACTTCCCAGAGGAGAGTTTCCATGCCAACACATGTTGGGCTTCTAAAAGTGCTGTTAACATTTGTTGTTAACATTTGCCTGACCATGTTAACATTTGCCTGACCAGAGGTAGGACCTATACTTTGGCTCGTCAGGAGCAGAAGAAATCTGGGCTGGGTGGGAGGTGGTTGGGGAGGAGGGAGGCTGCGGGCACTGAGCGGTGCTGGTTCCTCCCCAGAGGGATGTTTGTGAAGATCCGGGACAAGCAGCGCCACCCCGAGTGCTACGTGTGCAGTGACTGCGGCACCAACCTCAAGCAGAAAGGACACTTCTTTGTGGGAGAGCAGATCTACTGCGAGAAGCACGCACGGGAACGGGTCATTCCCCCCGAGGGCTACGAGGTGGTCACCGTCTTCCCAAAGTAAACGTGCTGCTCACAAAGCCAGTGGGGATGATTTATCCTCTGCTGATTTTCCTTGGAGAGCATTATCCCTACCCCCTGCAGAATCTTGTTTGCAATAAGGAATGTTAGGCATGGCTTTGAATTTCCTTGTCATTATTAATCCTCCATCTGTTCACATGAGATGTCACTAATTGTTCAACATTCTTTTCATCCTCTTTCACTTTTTTTTAATAAACAATTTTTTTTCTTTCATTGTGCTGCCAATCACACAGGAAAATCAGAGGCCAAAGTCAGATTACAACTTTTCTGTGTTCTAGTTATTTGCCATCCGTTTGCCTGCAATAAATGGGGTGAATCCACAAGGTAGAAGTGTCTCCTTTCTGCTGTTTTCCTTGTGCACTGGATTGTGGCTCCCAGAGTGCAGTGCAGCAGAAGAGGTGCCCAGCGCATGGCTGTGTTTGTCCTGGAGAACAGTGGGAGGGATTTACAAAGTCAGTCAGGCTGGTCTTGCTGCCAGCTGAGCTGTGAGCAGCTGCCTGCTGGCACCCAGCAAGGGCCAGGAGGGCATAGCTAAGGTGCAGAGCAGCCTGGGGGCCTGTGCCCAGTGCAAGGCAGCTGAGAGCTGCCTCCTCTGTGTCCAGCACTGCTGCATGATGATGGGACTGGGCATGGCAGTGTTTCCTGCTACTGCATCACCACAGATGGCCCTTTGTTCCCCACGGTCACTAACTGAGCTCTAGGAGAAAAACGATCTCATGATGCTTGCTGGAAACCAGGGAACCTGAGAGTGAGGAAGGGAAAGTTTGAGCGGCCACAGTTCCTGTTCTGGCTCCCCCTGGGGGAACCACATGTGGCTGCCCAAGGCATCACCCTGCTTCTCATGCTGCTGCTATGCACAGCTCCTGGAGGCGCCTTTGGGGGCTGATGTGGGGAGGGGAGCACGTGCCACTCATGCCCTGGACAAAGGGCTGATGGTGCCTGAGGAGCAGAACCTGTGTAGAGCACAGAGGAGGCCTGCAGTGGTTATTTCTCTCACACTTCTAAGTGAGATGATGGCTAATCATGTAAAAATAAATGGTTTCTAAGATGTGTCATGTTTCCTTTAAAATGGTTTGCCAGTGGTTGAAATCAGCAGGGTGGGTTTATGGCTGCATACAGACCTTCTGTGGCCAGCACAGGGTCCCTGGAGTTAGTGGGTGCATCTGCAACAGCTACAGACAGGGTCATGTCCTTGCCCTGGAAATGCTGTATTGCTGCACCCTGTGCTTCCTCTCCTTCACAGCTGTGTTGTAAAAAAAAAAAAAAAAACTAACCAACCAAAAATCCAAACAACAAAAAGCTAATAAACCAAAACAGCCAAGGTCAAACCACAACCCCAAACCCAATCCTCATCTGAGGTAAAGCTGACCTGACACCAAGCCTATAAGCCTCCTGCTGTTCAGATAAACAGGGCAGCTTTTGGGCAGGTTGGGCAGAGGTCTAATTCACCAACCCAGCTAAATTTAGTCCATCCTGTCAGGCTCCTTCTATGGGCAGAGGCAAGCAAGTGAGGCTGCTGTAGCTCAACCAGCAAACTTTGTTTGGATCATCCCTGGGAAAAGCCTGGCTTTGGGCTGCTGGCACACATCAGCACACACCTGCACAAACTCCAGAGGATAACATAAGCAGCTCTTTTTCAAGGTGAGAGTGGAGGGAATTTTTTCCTGCTGGGATGATGTTTGCCCTCACTACTGCTTAGGGGTGTTAATTCTCACCTCTCCACAGGACACTTCCATAGAGAAAGGGTCTGTGTGCTGCAGTGTTGGCAGGTGGGACTGCACAATAAGGCAGTGCAGTGGTGGGAAGCCCAGACCTGCAGGGTGAAGGAGTGACCCTGCAGGCACAAACTGCTCTGCCTGTATTGCAGACCAAGTCTCCTGCCCAGCAGTGGGACTGTGGCTGCTCCACACCACCTGCTTTCTCAGCAGGCTGGGGGCTCAGGGCTCCCCCAGGGAAATGCTGGCAGCTGAGGCCATCTGCAGCCCTGTATCCCAGCCCCAGAACCTAGGCGGAGCCCTCCAGTGCTACAAAGTCACTACATTATTTTGTACACAAGTGTGTCAGCAAAACAGCGCTCTTTCCAGAAAGCCACATGATTTTGGGGGCAAGGGCATCAGAGCCTGGCCCTGCCTGGCATTTCCCTGCCCTCCCACCCAGTGCCACCCTGCAAACGGGTGACAAGGCCTGCTTTGTGCAGGGCCATGGGCTCTGTCACCAGCCGAGCTCCTGCAGCCAGGCTGGCAGCATAACTGGCAACACTGACTGCAGGGGCCTGGCACAGGACTCAGGGACCACCAAAGATTTGTGGAGTAGTCTGGAAGTGTAGGTTTCTGTAGGGGGATACAGTGTGGGTAAATGAAGGTGGTAAGAATGTAAAGAATGTAACCTTATCCCCTAAAGAGTTGCAGCTGAACCAATTACTAAAGATCAGGAGCAGGCCTGATGTTAACAGGCCACACCTGTAACCAATAAGAAGAGTGTTATAAAAGAGTGGATTGGGGGAACTGGAGTCAGTTGGCTGTTGTGAGGACAGGAAGAGTCAGTGCCTAGAGCAGCTGCCTACAAGAACCATCAAGGAGGTACAAAACTGTGGCAATATGGAACCCTTGCAATATAATGATAATAGAACTCTTGCATTACAATGACAACAGGTTTCTAATGTGGATACCAGAGCTGATCCAATTTATTACATGAGCATGGGTTAGGTGAGGAAGTTCACATTTGTTACTTGAGGTCTTTGATCATGATCTGCTGTGGCTGGCTGAGAAAAATGAATGTATTTATCTTATCTTTTATGATGTAGGGCAAAATATTTGACAACTGTAGTGTTCACTGTAGTCTGACTTTCCAGATTATTAAGGAGTTAAACAGTTGGCATCTACACTCTGTCAACAACAACAAAATAGGTTAAATAGCCCTGCAGCCACACTGAGCTGCCTGCTTTAGAAGTTATCACATAAGTGTTCCTATGTGAAGCATGCTGAGCAGTTTGAGTAGGTGAGCACCCTGCCAGAGGGTGTCTCACAAAGGTGGGCAGCACAGCACAAAGCACAGTCTATCATTTTTAGCACTGATTACTTAAATTTTGCACCATGTTGCAGGTTAAGCAGGGTAGATCAGTCTTCAAAAGTTATGTAGGCTGTGTGGGAGCAGCTGTCACTTACTATTGTCTTTAACAAAATTAGGATGAGATGCAGATAGCTGAATAGGGAAAACAGCCATACACACAAGCTAAGCAAACAAGGAATGAATTCACTCCTTCCCATGGGAGGGCAGGTGTTCAGCCAACCCCAGGAGAGGCACATGCTGGACTTTGCACTACCCAAGGTAATTAGTAACTGAACAGAAAAATTAGAAAGTTTTGTCTTTAGCAATTACCAACAAAACGACGCTTTCACCAGGCAAAGATCAAAGTCAGCTTACTCGTTAACAGATTTATCTGTTCCCTTAGAGGAAAGTATAATTATCTCTTGTTACTGTAAGATTCCCTTCTCTATGAGGCCAATAGAGTAATTATGATCATGAAGTGAATGAAAACTGGTTTCTGAGCTCTGAGTTGGTAGAGGGGTTTTTTTCTGTGTTATCTGTGCCATGTTAATGAGCACAACTGCAATTGTGACAGCTCCAGCTACAATTCCATGACTGCATCTTTTAAATGACACTTAAAAGACATTTTCACAAACCAGAGCTGAAAGTTTAAAAGCTGCCGGATTCATCCAGTGCTGTGCCCAGTTCTGGGCCCCTTGCTACAAGAAGGACAATGATGTGCTAGAGAGTGAACAGAGAAAGGTAGTGAAGGGAACTGTTCTGGCAGGGGAAAGTGCAGAATGTCCCTGTGGGTGTGTGAAAGGCAAGGAGTACTGTCTGGAATAGAAGGGCAGTCAAGAGCAAAGGATATTACATGTGCATTTAGCCTAAGGGAGTTAGCTGTCATCATTGCATCGGGTCTTTTGAGACAGAGTCCAACCCTTAGCATGGCACTGCTGATCCATCTAAATCATGTCCCCAAGTGCCACATCCACATCTTAAATATTTCCAGGGATGTCAACTCCATCGCTTTCCTGGGCAGCCTGTTCCAGTGCTTGAATTTTTGGTGAACAAACTTCCCAATATACAATTTCACCCTTTCCTAGTGCAACTTGAGGCTATTTCCTCTTGTCCTATTGCGTGTTAGTTGGGAAAAGGGACCAACACCTTGTTACAGCCTCCTTTCACAAAGCTGTGGAGTGGTAAGCTCCCCCTTCTCCAGGCTAAACACACTCAGCCCCCTCAGTCACTCCAAAACTTCTGCTCCAGACTCTGCAGCAGCTTTGCTTCAAATAGGCAACTCAGCTGTCAATACAGAAGTAATGTCTGCACCAGAAAGATTTAGGCTGTTTTAGGCTCATTGCTTTTTGGTTTCTGTTTTGTGTGTGGGTGTTTTTGTGCTGTTTTGTGGGGTTAGTTTGTTTTTCTTTAAATGTTAGACATTGGCTAATGTGCTAAATAAGCAGGAAAGCGTGAATTAGTGGATCAGCTTTGCTTAAGAAGCCAAAATCCAGAGTTTTAGAACAAAAGAGATATTTATTTAATAAAAATAATTCTCAGAAGTTGAAAACAGAAGCTACACAAATGGCTTTTAATGAAGGTACGTCTTCTCTCAATTCCAAATAAAACTATAATTGACACCATATTTAAACAAAAACAACTAAAAACCAGAGGTTTAGGACTTCCACAGGAAGATTTTTTAAACAAATTTGCCAGTTTATACCACTGAGTACAAGAACTAGCTGCAAATGTGAAACATGCTCATTTTCTTTATGAAAGCCTACTAAAGCTACCACTATCACCTGCATTATAGTCTAGAACATGTTAAAATTCACTGGAAGAACACAAGGGATTTGAACAAGGCCTTAAGGAAGGTCAGCATCAAGGACCAGCAAGCATAAGTGACATCTCTGGAAGAGCTGAAAGGCTACTTAGAGGCCACATTTGCTTATTAAAACACACATTCTGCATTGGACTCTGATGACTCTTCTAGGACTTTGAAGACACCCATTTTTTCCTTTTTCATTTTTTCAGAGGCCTTCATTTGATCTAAGATTAAAACAAATCAAAGGTCAACAATAAGAGGTGTAGTAGAAAACAGATTTGGAAAAGAAGTTGAAAAAACCATTTTGCAGAATTGGAGAAAAAGCTGATAAAACCATTTTACTCCTTCATCAACAGTTGGCTACTAGAAGTTTGTATTCAAAAATAATTTTTCAGCTGTATGCTTCTAGGAAAAAATTCCAACATCTCTGGCTAAATGTGAATGGAGAAAAGCAGTTCTAAAAGCTGCCTG